GTTCTCTATAAGCGCCATTGTGACAATAAGTCTATATTCTTTCGTTGACTAGGCTGGAAGGATAGTGTATGTTACATAGGTATATATTATAGTATTATATGATAGCCATAAACACCATTTCAGCAAGGACAACAGGAGACACATGACACAAGGTTATAGTGCGTGTGTACTTAGGATTACGGGTAGTTTCGTCGTTGATGTGATTGTTATTAAATTCAAGCATTTAAATTGTTTAAATACCTTTGAGCAGGACATATTGGAGTGATATGTGCGATCTTCTCTGACCCTGTACAGTAATCGTTAAGGAAAGCTACCGGTTTGTTATGATTTGTATATTGTATGACGTTTTAATGCGAATGTATACTAGCACAAACCTTTCGGTATAAATTCCAACATGATTTATAACATTTGTTGACACGCAGTTCATTGGAAAGAAAAAAAACATTTGAAAAAGAAAGGCCTCCGATATTTCAAGACGTTCTCCCTGAAGGAGGATTGTTCCCACGGCGGCAAAAATAATTATATTTTACGAGCGCTTGAAAGTCATACATTCTCAAACAAGACACTTATATATTTACGTGTGATATTGAGCGATGTCCTTGAGCGATGATACATATATCAGAACCTCTTGTGAGTCTATTAGATGGATGACACTAATCACTGAAACGTCCCCAGCGGCATGCGACGTCATCGGCATGCTTCCATGTCATCCGAAACACCGTCGCCAACTGCAACTGCCGTCTTACTGATGCGGCCTAGAGCAGTATGAACCTACTCACTCACACTAAAGTTTCATAATAGGCTGCTGGACAGCTTGCTTTAGATGGTCGGAAAGGGATCAAGCTCTTACAAGTGTGCCTAAATTTATATTGCCGATGCGGGTTCCATACCTATGAAACCCAGTAATAGGTGAACGGTCTAGTGAGGTTGGTCGTGATGTGCCAGTTCGTTATTAGTTAATAATTCAGCAGCAGACTGATTATGTGTTTTTTTTATAAATTTTACATTAAATCTGTAATAAAACTGTAGTAATTTTGCAGTGTTACTAAACAAAAATATGTAGAAATTTGTTCCAATTCCTATATTTTACATATTACCGATGTAACATTTAAAAAAAAATAATACTCACTCCAATCCGCCTGGATGGGAGAATTTGGAGACGCGTTAACTAAAGTTAAAGTTTTCCATGAAGTACATAAAGTTTCATCGGCAATAGCAAGGTTTGCTGTGCATAGTTGCGTCCATTGGGCACGCCAGAAACATATGAAGTTGGTTCGAATCCCGGGTCGCCCCGATAATGTTCCTAGGTTTGTCAGCACAATACCTGTGCTCGTTGGTTTCACCTTGGTTGTAAACGTCCGAGACCTGCATCACATTGGGCTTTCCTCCCACTTTGCGCTAACACGGCGTGATGTGATTGGATATACTGTTACAAGCGGCGTTAAACCAAACTCACTCACTCCTTATTACAAGGTGATTTCCCTCCATGTAATTTCTATGCGTTGATCAGCACATTTCTCCTATAGTCTGTCAGGCCAAAGACGCATGCACTTCTATAATCAGACAGAGTGGTAAAACATGTAGTTGATATTTATTTATCAAATTCAATTGTAAAGGCGACGAGATTTGGAAAACAGCCATATATTCATAGTATTGTAGGCTTATTTACATGTATATCGCTGTACACCTCGTGTGGTCCCACCACTTTCTTTCCGTATTTATTACAGGTGAATCGACGCCCATTTACATACATATCCCATAGTAAATTTTCACCTCATTAGGCAACAAGCTTTCTCCTCTCGTCTAGTATATGTAAATTGTCATCGACAAAACCGGTATGTCCCCTTCAACAAAGACACGTAGCAGAAATCACACGGCTTGGAGCAGCGCCTGTATTATACAGCTTACTCTCAATTTGCCCTTTGTTTAGATAGTTGCACGGCAAACATGTAGGGGGTATAAGTGTCATAACTGTCCATTGTAAATAAACAATACACGAACGTGCTCGCGCAGGGCGACTCTTATGAACATCAGACACGTGTAATAATTCATTGATAACAAAAATTGAATGCCAACGCCCCTATACACCCGCGTTGACAACCGACAGCAATCCCAATAGCAATGTAAATTACACTAGACAAGGGTTCGGCGAATATTCATACACTGAATTTTGCAGTGTCTGAAATTCAAAATGGCGGCCGGCATGATCTTCGGTTCAAATGTAAGTTGATATTGTTTCTACAACTAATTTTGACGGTTTTGTTACGTTATTTCGAAGGGTATACATTCAACGTAACGCCTTGTATATGCTGCGAACTGCCATTGGAAAAATTTATGTGCACTTGAGGTTAGATAAGCGTTGATATGTATTTTAAGCCGTTCTTGCTTTCTTGAGTGCACGAGTTTTGGAGTTGCAAGTACCATGTTCCATGTTTGAAATAAGGGCATGTGAAAATATGTAAAATGGCCACAACTGAAGACAATAACGATAAACTGTGGCACAGTGCATGACTGCTTCACGCACTCCACGGATGAAACCGAGAAGGGCTTTGTTTCAAGATGACTCGATAACTAGAATATGGCAGAACGGCGTTAACCCATGGACTCAACATTTAAACCCATTGACTCAACATTTTGGCTCTACGTCTGGTAATGACTCAGTTGTAGATTAAGACAGCCATGGCAGTGCTAACTCTAAACAAGGTGAGTGGGAAAAAGATGAGACAATGTTATTCATTTATCTTGATTTTGATCATCATATATCTTTTGAAACGACATAGTCAAGATGAAATTCAAGACAAAATATAAAATATACATACAGAAGTATATAGACTGTGGTTTTAGGTATATAAACAATGGTGTATATTAGCTACGTTTATTCTCTATAATTACAAAGATATATTCTGTTCAGGTAGAAGTCTGACATTGTCTTCTCCCTGAAGATAAAATTGAAAAAGAACAATTCAAGTCGTATGATTATTGGTGTCACTATGCTTATAAGAACTTATGCCACGTTCCGATGGCCATGAAGTTTGAACCATGCATAATGTCTGATCCACTCGAATTCACCTTATAAAATGGCAATTGTAATATTTGAAAAGAAACATATTAATGTAATTCTGACAGGTGTATAACGCATTGCTGCATAGTCACAGCTGACTTCCTGTTTATACAGCTTTATTCAGCTACAGTGTGTATTATTGTGTAGAGTGATTGGGTCTGTAACACTGCCTTAACACATCATAGCATAGTTGTGATCACACTACTAATAGGGTCCATGAACGCATGCTGGTAGGCTGATAGACCCCCAGGTTCATGTCACTCCAGGGCATGATTGACGCAGTAAAAGATCTAATCATAACGACATCGGTTAGCATGTTGCATGGTATATTATGGACATGAATAGTATGCGATATAGCCAGTAGCAGTACATATACGTGGAATATTCTTTTTTAATAATTTGGGTATAGAAATGTATGTATGCGATCTTACAATAAAAAGCCAATGTTATTTTTATAGGGCAAAAGAGTCTGGTGGGTTCTTTTCGCAGCAGTATTTGATTACACGTGTTCTGTGGGTTTGGGAGCAGTGCCAAAACATTTTTCCTTGTGAAAGTTAACTTGAATAAAAAATGAATAATCTTATTTTCACCCCTTGTTAAAAAAGCTAACTACGGCCTTGGGGAGGCACAGGTGTCCCAGTCGTCTTCAGCTCCGCAATTCCTTATACAGAGTTGAGTCCCTTGGACTGTCCACGGACTTGTATGACGGTTACAGAGGTCCGTGGTTTGTAAGGTCTAGGACCTGTATGACTTCGGGCTTTCCTCCCACATCAAGCTGAAGGGGTTTTACTGACATACTGTTCCAAGCAAAATTAAACCAAACTCACTCATGCAGACTTAATCTCCGACTGAAAGTCATGTTAATGAATAGCATATTCGTTATTTATACAAATCCCGCATAGTTTCACGTCAACTAGCATTGTTTTGTTTGATTGTTGTTTAACGCCGCACTCGGCAAAATTCCAGCTGTATGACGGCGGTCTGTAAATAATCGAGTCTGGGCCAGGCAATCCAGTGATTGACATCATGTGTATCGATCCACGCAATTGGGATACGATGACATGCATCAACCAAGTCAGCGAGCCTGAAAAAAGGACTGGTCAGCTCGGAGTATATTGCGTATGAATGGGCTATCCATATTTAACTGCGGCATTTCTTCTCAGCGATAGCATAAATCGGGACAGACACAGACGCATGTCGATATAATGAGTGCAGTCATCTTCAACGCGACGTTAAACCTGACCTCACCCCACCCATAGTAGTTTTCTAAAAACAATTGTAGTAATAACGCTCCTGGAAAATTGTGGATCAGTTTGATTTTATTTATAGTATTTGGATTATGTCAACCAGAAACCATATAATATCTATTATATGGTTTCTGTGTCAACCAAGATCAGTTCCACAAGGAATTAGCTCCATTCGGAACAAATATTTCCGGTGTTAATGTATCGTGTAAAAAAACTTCAAAGTAAAAACTGTTTCATTGGAATAATTTCACACTGAGAAAACTAGTACAAAAAGAACAATTTCACTACTTTGACCATTACAACAGAGTTTTTTTCTGGATCTAAGGGAAGCAACTCTAAATACTTGGTTGCACTGGGCTCCTGTCTATTGACATACGCTTAAAGCGTATGATCAACAGCGCATGCAAAACATTTGAACCAGTTGAAGGGGCGTGAGAATTCTTACGTGTATTATGTTATGTGTGATATAATTGTGTATTTACAAGTTTTAAATTAATTGAAAATAATAGCCCCTGCCCCACGAAATGGCGTTCGTGTCATATATCGAATAAAATGCCTGGATCAAGTCTCAAAAAATGAAAACAAAAGCACATGCTCATCTTCCGCCATATTGTTTACCTCAGTTACGATCTGTATCATTCCGCGCATTGATTGAGACGACAAGGAGCTAAATGTGCATGTTTAAATGCAATTGGATGTCCAAACAGTAATCAATATGATGTTATTGTAAAGCTTAATAACTATTCTACACCACCTTTTGAAACAAACCCAAGTGATATGTCTTGGAACTATTTCGATAGAGCGGATGCATCACATCTGCAATTCGATAGCAACCACAAGCTCTTCAGCTGCACGGATTTGTACATCACTGAAAATATTTGAGAATTGGGACCACAGTCAAAATGAGTATTGAAACAACAAGAAGATTTGAGGGACCACCTCCAGGAATCAGTGCAGGCTATAAACAACAACGTGCAAGGATTAGGGTTTGTAGACAAAAGTTAATTGATGTGGTGGAAAAGATATGTTTGTCAAATAATAATGCCCAAAGCAACGATTTCGAGCCTCAACATTTTAGACTTGATTTTATTCCTTATGAACTTGAATCTGTCATGATTTGCAAAAAAAACCCCGCTTCTAAATTATTTTTTTGGTAATCTGAATATCTTTTTGTTTGGAGTTATATTTTGTTATATGCATCTATATAAGGCAGTCTATTGCCTGTATCACACACATTCTATAAAAAATACAGAAAACTGCTTTTAAATGATTTTTTTTGTAATCTGAATATCTTTTTGTTTGGAGTTATTTTTTTGTTATATGCATCTATATAAGGCAGTTTATTGCCTGTATCACATAGATCTACATTCCAGCACAAATTCGAGGAAAAAATACAGAAAATGGGTAGATTGCCTTGAGCAAGTGTGCAAGCGACTTTTTTATGCTAATATTTTGATAGATACTTGTGTATGAGAACATTAATGAGATTGTTTTTCATTTCAGATGGATGAAGAAATAGCAGAAAAAGCTTATCAAATAAAACTGTAAGTATATATGGGAAAAAACCATTTCACTGTCATATGACACTTTCAGTTGTTGCTGTCTGTAGAGATGAACTCTTTAAGTCTACTTACCTTATGTTGTATTCTATGTGGATCATATTCAGAAGGTTATAGTGTTAGAATATGGAGAGTTATTTGTTAGCTGAGACGAAAGAGAAAGAAACTCGCTGGACTCGTCTTTAGATTGCTGGCTCAAGTCACAGACATCTATCTAATACAAAGCCTGGGAGTAACTTGCTGCTAGACACTATCCTCAGATCATGTTTGTCAGCTGTGGTAATCAGGTAATGGGTATCATACCAGGGCTGCATGAATACCCTATGAGGCGAATATGATTCGTATCACGAATATAGGGTAACGAATACAAGTATTAATTCACAAAAACAATAACAAGTCGGCAGTTGATGTATTATTTGTATATTCAGTGAAACAAAAGCAACATAAATTTTTTGACATGGTTTGTTGATTATTGACATTTTATATACCAGGTATCAGGTATCAGTATCTGCCCAAATGTGACAATGACCAGTGACCACATTACTGTCAAATTAATTATTATGAGAGTGTTGTCTTTGAAGGAATATTTGCATATAATATGTTCTTATGGATATTTTTAGGTACAGGGTATGTAAATGCACATGACTGCATATTCATTTATTTCGATTCTACTGCTCACGGATAACGAATTCAATTCATGAATGAATACAGTTCGATTCACTGAATACACGAGTACATCATAACCGCCCTATTGCATACTGACACTTTGTGGGATAGATACAAGTCGATTCAACAGTGGACAGAGGTCTATTGTTTAACCTCTAACATTGAATGAATTTAGGATTAAAAATCAAAGGGATCTTGACTTAATCCTAATGTTAAAAATCCAAGTTTAGGGCCTAGATTCAAATACTATTTCAGAAAACTTCAAGGACTCCAAAACCCCCCTTAATTTCTAACACTGTTCAAGCTGAGACACAAACCACATGACATAGCTAAGGAAGAAGGATTGAAATTGTTTATTTTAATTCTTTAGTAGGTTACATATCAATAAAAGTAAACTTGATTCTAATGTACCGAGTTGCCTCTATCAGGCAAACCCTGCAGATGCTTGAAGTGCAAAAAGTGGATTTTGCAGGACCACATTTTAGCATTAAGAAATAGCAATAAAAAATGAAACAGTTTGATTTAAGTGACATGCTTGACAGATTCAATAGTGACGGATGACAATGAATTAACTTGTCAAGGTTGTGGATAAAAGCAATAGAAAGAATGAATTGTTCATAAGATTGAAGTGTGAAAGTGTCAGATTCTAGTCCTAAACTACCCTATTCTGAGTGACTGAGATTCCAATTCAATGTCATGAAATGTAAGCCTGATTTGTTGATTAAGTACTTTAGAAATGCAATTGGCTTAAGGAAACACTTCTGAGCTCTTATTCCCTTATATGAAGTTATTTGTATCCTGCCAGCATGACCAGTGTCTAGTGGTGGGGATATGCTGTGATAAGAGTCAAGTACACCCTACTCTGTAAATTACCATGGTGACTTGTGCCACTGCCCTGTGCAGTTGTGGGGAATGACTGATAACTGACTTCAATAGAAATTATGTAAGCAACTAAAAATGAAGTAATTGTGAATTGGATGGGAAATACACATCACGTGCTTATCATTAGTTCTAGAACACAGATAGAATCTCAAAGCTAGCTATGTGTACAGTAAAAACCTATGTATTCACATGATTAATAATAAGCCTGGATTCCAGTTGGTTGCTGATGGTGGATCGTTGCTCATATTATAAATCCCAGTGTCTGGTATAGACTCGATTATTTACAGGCTGCCATCATATAGCTGTAATAGTGTGACAGGTTACAAAAACAGAAATACCTGGTAATAATAATTATACATTACCACTAGCATTGTGACAAATTTCTCTCCAAGAGCTTTATCCCTATTTAGACTAATCTTCATCTCTTATGAGACCGCCTCCGTGGTCTAGTGGTAGAGCGTCTGCCCAGAGAGCGGAAGTTCCGGGGTTTGATCCCCAGCCATGTCATACCAAAAGACGTTAAAAAATGGTACTTGTTGTTACCTTGTCTGGCGCTCGGCATTAAGGGGCTAAAACAAGAACTGGTCGGCTCGGAGTCAGTATACTGTGTCTGAGTGGGGTATTCATGTTAAACTGCGGCATGGTATCTCAGTGGGCTAGCACTATAAATCGGCAGTAGTCCAGACTAGTACAAGCAGCCACACACACACGCACACATGTACATGCACATCGCTATATAAGTGCAATAATCTTGGACGCGACGTTAAACCCAATTTCACCTCACCTTATCTCTTATGTAAAACCTGTTCTTTATGCCTAGGAATATATTGGTATGTTTGTGATTACCCTTAATTATCCCCCACCATGAAGTGGGGCGGGGATATAGTAATGGAATCCGTCCATCCTTCCGTCTGCTTCTCATTGTAGACAAATTTACCCAAAAACTATTCAAGTTAGAAAAGTTAAATTTTATGCACTGCACTGATGTTACTGGTCACAATCTCAAATGAGTCCTTAAATTTTACTTGGTGCATAGTGTCTGCATTGGGGACAAGTTTTCTCAGAAACAACTGAAGTTAGCTTATCTAAGAGACACTTATCAAGACTGAGTTATTTTTTCCAGAAAAGGGGCCTTTTGTGTGTATTAATTTCACATTTAATAATTTTTTCTGATGACATAAAGCCGTCCCAAGTGCATCCTATCTCCTCTTAAGCAAATGTTAAGGCTTTATCATGTTTATTGGACTCTTTTTCATTGTTTTTATTCACTACTATATGAACAAACAAAATTCTAATGTGCCCCATGATGGGGGATAGTGATAACGCTGTTTTCCTGTTTCAAAATAGGGTAGGAAGGTAGGCTTTCTTTCTTGAAAACATCAACATGCAACCATGTGTTTGAGAACTACTGTATTTATGTTATAGATTCTGTGTTTGGAATATAGTTTCATGTATGCACTTTGTTTTGTAATGAACATTGAGTGCCACTGAAAAAAACCCAGTAGTTGGGGGCATTCAAACACATTTAATTAGGGTCAGATTCGTAATCTATTATGCCTAATAGGTAAGTGTGTAAATCTGTCAAGAACACTTTCCCATGCTTTCTAACCAATTTATTTGGAATATTTGTTCAGTTGAAAGTGTGTGTTGGTTAAAGTTTCGCCGATAGTGTGTGTTGGGTAACGGATGCATCATTCTACTCAGGCTAGTTTTAATACCCTGCATGTTGTGAACAGGGAGAAGCAGATCAACGAGCGAGCCCTGTGGAACCAGGAGCTTGAGGAGAAGAGCAACTTCAGGAAGCACCAGGAGAACACGAAGCGGATACAAGGGGAGCTACGCATGGCCACCAGGGCAGCTATAGCGGTAAGTCTGAGGAGCAACTAAGGGATGCTCCTGCAAGGAAACAAGTCTGGGCAGTCTGTTTTGAGATTACCAGTCAGAATCTCTCTTAGCACCGTTTTCAGTCAAATTTAGTGTTATTATATAGACTATTATTTGCTGGGCTTACTAGACCAAACCAAATTTGACTAGACTCGGGCTTCAGATAGGTGGCTAAAATTGCTTGTGACAGAAAATGGTGTGAACCCTCACCCCTCTTTCAAAACCTGGATCTGTAATTGTGTAGTAATAATTGCAGATTGATGCAGTTATCAATTATAGGTGTCTATACACAATTTTGGAGAAACATTCTTTTACAAATAACAATAGCTATTCAAAATGCTTTTTCCTTTTCTTTGATCTGCAAATAATTACACATTTACACATTCTTCATCAATCCAATATTTCCATCATTGAATAAGATTCAAACAATTTCAAATCATTGTAAACACAGCTTCTTCGATATGCAACTTTCGGATTATTCAGAAAAAAATAATCAGCCAGTAATGATAATAAATTGTGCTGGAACAGTTTGATTGTGAAGTTGTAGGTATGTGAAAATGTACCCTAGGGCTGGGATGAGTCCAAATTTACTACCCGAGTACCCACTACCCTATTACCTGACCCTATCCAGAGAGATAGGTCCAAATGTCCGACTGGGAATAGTTTGACCGTAGCCCTGGCAAAATGTATTTAGATACACAAAAAAAAAAATGATCTGGTCATGCATAAACTGAAGTTGTCTGAAGTTTTATCTTTAATCAAACATATAAGGTCAGAAGGAATGCAAACATTAGTCCCTTATAGTGTAACCATAGAGTTCCAGATAATTTGTGTCATTAAACAATATATCACATGATTAACCACGGGTCGGGGTAGTCCTGTGGGTACCTGGTTCCTACTCAGTAGCCACTTGTCCTGAGTAACGCGTCCCGAGTTACCCGTCCCAGCCCTACTAGGTACCTTTCTGTATACACAAATGTGCTCTAGTGTAGCAATTGTAATGGCCCTGAAGTCAGGATTGTAGGGGATAAGTTGACATAAGTTAATGGGACAGCAAAACTTCCGGTTTCGTGCATTGTAATGATAGACAGTACTCTACATAGTTTGCCATGCTCGGGTTCATTTGTGTATACAGGAAGGTACTAGCCTGGGGTACATTTTTGTAGTATCTGTTCCGACATCGACCCCCATAGTGTCAATTTGACCCATGTCTTATTTTTTCAAACACAAATTTTCATCAACGACTGAGAAGGACAAGGTTATATAGATAAACAGAAGTTGAAATCCAGGTCAACTCTGTCCTCATTCTTACTACAACTTCAAAAATGTCACATAAAGACTCTGGATAGGAGCAAGGGAGAAAAGTTTTTCACTCCTTGGTTAAATGTTGAGAATGATTTGAGTGTAAGAAGAAAGATATCCATAACTGGCCAGTGTATTTTACATTGCTTCAAAATTTGTATGTACCGGTATTAGTACCCAGTAATAGTGACAGGGGCATGATAGAGGCACTTCATGCTGTCTGCTTCACACTGATACACATTAGACACAGGCTGATGAATTTCAACAGATTTTGATCCATTATTGATTGTTTACTCTCAGCAGGATGAATTAACTATGAGTGTTTACCAAATGGTCCACTGGTCAAATGGCTGTAAACATGAATCACTAATCAGGTGACCTCCAGCTTGTTGAAAATATGATATGTTAATCTCCTTGTTTACTGTAAACTGAATTACAGAAATTGGTAAAATATATGAAACATGAAATATGAAGAGTATGAACAATATTACGTTGTAACTTTTCTGTAGGCTTGTGTAGGACTGAACAGGGTGAGGAAGTCATTTCCGTTTTCACAAGGCTGCAAAACTTATATATGTATATGTATGCAACAGAGTTGCCATGGCCCTAAACATGCTGAAGGTAAATGTGTTAGTCTACAAGTATATATCACATGTCCTTTCTGAATTATGCAATTCATGATGCAATGCCTGTGTATGTTTCAGTCAATGTGTGTGACTTTATTTTTATATTGATATAATCTGAGAAAAGAAAAGCTAATTTTAATTTCCCAAATCAGTTTTTGATTTAAAGTGTTCCTGTTACTTTGATCCTACTAAGTAATACATGTGCTATATGTCATATGTTTAAAGGGGTATGAGTGACCCATTCATTTAGGGCATTGCAATTTGCTGGGCAAAGTTGTGTCCCTTGGTCATGTTAACATTCGTGACCAATTCGTGTTATTCTGGGACAAGCCGAATAGCGACTCGTGCCCCTCTCGTGGCCATTTTTGCGACCGTCTTAGCGCAAACGGGCATACCTGAAACAATTGTCAACTCATTGTGTAATAGGTCACATATATTTCCCAATATATCATATATATTTCAAATGCAATTTAAAGCACTTCGGGACTTGCGGAAATATACAGTATAATTGAACACATGTCACTGTGTCTTGGGTATATTTTTACATGCAAGACATATGTAAAATAAAAAATTAGGGATTCTTTGATGAAGAACTTGAAATCATACGCGCATTCTGATTGGTTTCTCGTATTTTCGCACATAACATTCATCGATAGGGGGACGAGTCTTCTTGCAGGTCATGGAAAGGGGAGAGTGGTGACGAATGCCATGTCAGGTGTGGCAGAATCTGTGGTTGTACGTTCAAATGCCAGACTGTTTTCACTAGATAGCATGAATATCAGACTTTGGACTTTAGAATATATAACATATGGTGATTAGTATGTCTCATAATAATGTAATAAACTATTTTTCCTTTTTTTTTTACTAGTACCTTTTCAGTCTTTCCCTCAGGTAATTGCTCAAGTAAAAAACTCACACATTCTTGCACCTGTAGGCTAGAGCAAAAGATTAGATGGCTACAATGAGTGACCTGGCTGATTGTGTGTCATTGTCGTATTCATACCCTTGTGGTGTGGATCAACTGCTTGTATGTCTGGTCCATCGGCTCAATTTGTGTTTGGCCATGATGTAGCTGGAGTTTTGCTGAATGTGGCGTTAAGCAGCATTCACTCACTCACTCACTCACTCACTTCATCACTTTCTCACTCACTGTGTTCCACCTTCATTCCTTGGGCACGTTAGAAACCTATGATTGTGGGTTTGAATCCCAGGTAGCCCCGATTATGTTTCTAGGTTTGTCAGCACCATACCCATGCTCGATGGTTTCACAAGGGGTAAATGTCTGAGACCTGCATCACTTCGGGCTTTCTTTCCACATCAAGCTGACACGCTGTGGTATAACTGGAATGCTGTTCAAAGCAGCGTTAAGCCAAACTCACGCCCTCACTCGCAAGATATGACACACATCACTGAATTTGTGCATTTTCACCGATATCATTATCACAGTGTATTGCCCGTTGAGAAATAACTTTTCTCACAGGGCTTGACAAAACAACTGGCCGAATAGACATGTGCTGGTGTAGTTGGTTCCTGGCCAACACTTTCATATTTTATATATTCACACTCTTTCCAAGAGTTGGGTGGTCGGGTAGCCTAGTGGTTAAAGCGTTCGCTCGTCACGCCGAAGACCCAGGTTCGATTCCCGACATGGGTACAATGTGTGGAGCCCATTTCTGGTGACCCCCGCCGTGATATTGCTGGAATATTGCTAAAAGCGGCGTAAAACCATACTCACTCACTCACTTTCCAAGAGGCCATTGGCATGTGAAGAATCGTCTTAGTTCATTCAACAAATTGCATGTTTTTCATGTAGTTCAGTTTTGAAAAATCTACAGATTTAGATAAAAAAACATTAACTTTCATTGAGAAAAGATCCTAAAATGTGAAAAACTTTTTCCCATTCGCATATTTATCCTTTGTTGATATTGTTGTTGTCCTCCAGTGAACAGCCACATTGGACATGTTAGAATTGGTCTTCAGCAACCCATGCTTGTCTTAAAAGGCGACTAATGGGATCGGGTGGTCAGACTCGCTGTCTTTGTTGATGCATGTCATTTTATCCAAGTTGTATAAATCGATGCTCCTGATGTCTATCACTGGATTGTCTGGCCAAGACTTGATTATTTACAGACTGCCGTCATAAAGCTGGAATGTTGCTGAGTGCGGCGTTAAACATTAACAAACAAAGATATGTTGTCATACTCCTCACTGTTGCAGTATTACTAGCATATCTCGATAATTATAAAAAAAATCTGAAAATCAAACTAAAAGGCTTCCTCTAGGCCGGGAGGGGGCATGGGTGGCCCAGTCGTCTAAGGCGCCGTGATTCGCTGTGCAGAGTTGCGTCCCTTCGGCACGCCAGAAACCTATGATTGTGCGTTCGAATCCCGGTTCGCCCCGATTATGTTTCTAGGTTTGTCAGCACCATACCCGTGCTCGTGGGTTTCACCGAAGTGGTAAACGTCTGACACCTGCATCACTTCGGGCTTTCTTCCCACATTAAGCTGACACGCCATGATATAACTGGAATACTGTTAAAAGTGGCGTTAAACCCAACTCACTCACTCCTCTAGGCCTGACTGCTATGATTTCAGAAGCAGTTGATTTACAAACCAGAAAAAGGTCTGCTCACGTGATATGCAAATTTGCGTGTGTCAGTGGTGTATTGCTAAGTCATCACTGTGCTGGAGTGTGCTATTGGCTCATGTGGCTTGTACAATAGATTAAAGGCCCAAACTAAGACCTAAAACTACTTTTGGGTTAGATTGAGGGCTGAAAAAACTAGTCGACCAGTCATGTGTGACATCGGTCGAATGTGAATAAATAATGTAGAATATACTTTGAACAACGACAAGAAGTGTATATCATGGTATATTGTATCTTTCCCTGGACAGTGACTAGTGTATGTTTTCTACAAACATATATATGCAGATTCAGAAGTGTACTGAGTATATAAATTGGGAGGCGGTGGATAGCCTAGTGGTTAAATCATTTGCTCGTCATGCCGAAGACCCAGGTTCGATTCCCGACATGGATACAATGTGTGAAGCCCATTTCTGGTGTCCCCTGACAAGGTATTGCTGGAATATTGCTAAAAGTGGCCTAAAACAATACTCACTCACTTTATAAATTTGGAATTTTTATAGGTTATTTGGAAGACAAAGTGTAAACATATATTTACACAATAACAGGCTCAATTGGTGATAAGCTTTCAACAAAATTACAACCTTACCTAAATGAAACTAATTTGCCAAATCACAAAATGCAAGCCTCCTTTTCCAGGAATCTGTGTCAATTCTTGACACCAAGCCCTACCCACGGTGGGGTTTTTACACGACATACTTTCAAAATCAGGTTTGAAGACCATTGGGATTGTGAAGTGTAGTCTGGCCTGTTTGTATGACTAGCCGACTCGTGTTGTACTGTCAGTGTAACGGCTGCAGAGTGACTGGCTAGAGTCAAGGACACCCTGTTGTCTCCATGGGAAACACTTGTCCCAGTAGAGATTGTTGTTGCTCTGCATAGAAAGCTCAATGATGTCTATCCATTCCCCTCACCACTTTTTTAGTGTGTTTCTTTCTACATTATTGATAAACCAGTAATTGGATCGAGTTGATGAGTTGGAAAAGGCAAAATGTGAACATAATACAGCTTCCGAGTCGATCTGGGAATACATACACCTCTTGTGGCAGTCAAACACATAGGAAACAGGATTAAGGCTGTCAATATGACAGCAAGTTGCTGTCAGGCAAAGTGGAAATAAAATGCTTTCATGTGAGTGTGTGTTTCTGATTGCCATGGTGACCCAAAACAATATTGTGTGTTTAGCCTTAATAAGCATGATTTGGTAAGTGAGTCATGTTTAGCCAGGAGAATGAAGCTTCTTAATGTTTTCAGAAAGATAAAGGACACAGTTTTCTGATATTCTGGTTTACAGATTTTAACTAGTCTTGCTAATTAGCTTGTGTTGGTTGAAATAAAAATTATGATGATATTATCTTGCTTAGTATTTTATTGTTCACATTTAGCATAAAGTTGTTTGCTTTTTAAAAAAAGAAAAAAAGGTTATCGACCGTAATACTTCTGATAATGCTTTGTTATCTTTATAAGATGTTTGCAGTGGCCATAGACTACATGTTAATATCCAATGCATTTGATCAATTGGTATTTAAAAGTAAAGAATTACTTTAATTCAGTGTGTTTCTCTAATTTATCGAAGATGGAAATAAAATGAAAAATACCAATACCTTTGAACCAATGTTGTTCCATGAACCTTGTTTTGAAAGTTTGGAATTTTGGAAAATGTTATTGTTGATTTGATCCTCCTGAAACATAAAATTGTAATCATATGATAACTTGCTGATGATGCTAATGCGTTCAGTTTCAAAGTCAAATTCAGATGGATCAAATCAGCATCGTGTTTTTTTATGTGGTAGCTGAGTTTAATGTTTAGATGATAACCATGTATTGTATGTTGCTGTATATTCACAAACAAAATCTCTACAGAAACTTAACCAATCTGTCTTTCCTTGCATGATTTAGTTCTGAAGTTTCTAAGCCATACCATTGTGATTTGAAAGGAATCCTAGATACCACATTTACCATAAGAAGTTCTCTGCTACATTGTGTACTTAGAAAATTGACATGTTTTAGATAAAAGTTATAAGCAGTTATATACCCATTCTACACTGCTATGCTTGTTGTGAAAGACATGTAATATGCACAAGAAAATGTGGATTGGTATGTCCAGTTTCGGGCTTGTACAGGGTGTTTGAAAACATTACCTTGAAACTGGTCTAGAAGTGTTTTTTTAAATTGCTATTTTATTTCTGAGTCCCTGTTACAGATCCGCCCTGACACCCAGGGTAGTGCCTGGGCCAAGTTAGAACAGATATACAGACAACTTTAGCAAGGTTATTAAATGAGTTCCAGGAGCAATAGTTATGCATGTTGATACTAACAGAAAGATTGATACTGGAGGTGTAGATATCATGGACTCAGATTGTTTTTAAATGGGACATTGACATAGACACTCCTTCACACACACATCCACTCACTTTCTGTACTATCCCTTAAAAAATATGAATATAGTGACAACTAAACATAAATTTACGTCTGCAAGAACTATTGTACATATTAAATAAAGATCACTGAGTTCCAGAAGTAGATATATCTACATTAGCTGGTTCATGGTAAAACATCCACTTGGTATAGAACTAAGCCTGTTGACTTTTACTATGAGAAATATTTCTTTCAATGATATACCTGTTGTGAATATAATGTTTAAAGTGATCAAAATTTATGGTTGTTTTTAAAACTTTACATTTATAAATACAGAATTTAGCCAAGAGCAACATTAGGTCAAACACATCATCAGTTTATATCTATTGACTGGTCTAGAAGTGAATCAGGGGCACCTTGCCATTTGTTCCATTCATTTTCTATTATCAGTATACAGTAAACTACAGTTATAACGAACTCAAAGGGACCCCTAATTTTGGTTCGTTATGAGCATATGTACAGTACCGGTATTTATTACTTGCCCGTGAAGAGATCACCCGTTTAATAAACATACAGCTGTATTACACAGTGTGTAATACCAAAACGCGTGCTTATGTACTCTCGGAACACGTTTCACGAAAAATATTGAAAGCTCTCCACATCCCTTGGCTTATTCAACGACATTGCGTGTGGAGATGGTAGATCACTGAAAGGAGCTTAAGCACACTCGATGACCCCAGCAACCTTGTTGCTAGGCTGACGTCACATGGCATTGTTTCGCCGAAGGATCTTGCAGCAAAATTCAACAAATTACGTCATCAGGTATTGTGACGTGATTGTAAACTTTGAGGTGCAAGGCCCCGTTCCACAAGGCGATCGTGCTGTAGCGCAACGACAGTCGTTGGTCTTAGTTTAAGTATGTGAGTTGCGATAACCTTAACGCTACAATAATTTTGTGGAAAGGACGCCTGAATTCGAAAGGTAGACCGTTGTATGGTATTAAATTCATACGTTTCAACTTTTGACGTGTTTGAAGTATTATTCTGTTTAACTCAATTGTATTATGCCGTGGATCGTGTAGGTGTCAGCCTATTCACACTCTACAGTATAATTCTAAAAACGTTTCATAAAATTGGTATTACACGGGAGCTCATTTAGTATTCTATATATATACAGCAAATGGACAGGGCCAAAAAGCAGTTTGATATATCCGTCAGTTCGTTGTAAGCGTGTTCACTATAAATGTAGTTCAAAGCACTAAAACTACCACTCATTGGTAAGGAGTTAGTAGTGATGTACTTATTTACATTGGAGGCATGTTTTGTGGTTTTGTGGATTTCATGATTCTCTTAACCAGCTTTGTAATAGAATACCATAAACAGGACAAAGATTTCGTGTTATAGGAATATGTATTTAGGAATATATTTTGATATGAATAATCTAAACTAGCATTGTAATTGAAATTGATGGAAATCCTATCTGTTATTTCAGGTCCGGCGAGTAGCCCTGAAAAAGCTTATGGAGAAGGAATTTGCAATGTATGCAGAGGAGCTGAAGACACAAGGGAAAACACTTTACAAGCAGAGAGTGTGATCACCATGATCACAACCATATATCTCTTGATGTACTCAAACTCCAAAACCTGTGCTCAACATTGTCATAGTTATCTCTTCAATTGTTCAGAATTGACATTTGAAATAAGTCACAACTCATTTTGGTAAAGTAAAGTTGTTACTTTTTTATTTCTTATGCACATTACTCCCCAGAATCTTGTTTACTGCAGTTTGCATGGTTTAGGTAAGCTGAGGTTCTAATATTTTTTTGCCAATAATGATATTGATTTTATAAACCAAATATGCTCCATTTTCAGATAAAAACTGAAATTATTTACTATTATATTTTGTGTCAGTAGATATATATATTTTATCTTCAGCTTCTAAGCCATATTTCATTGATCTGTTATACTCACTTCATGGACACCATTGTTCATACATGTTATTTTGGCCATTGCTTGTATAAATGTAAGATAATATGGCAGCAATTAAGTGTGTAATGTGTAGGTGTACATGTCTTAACAAGTATGTATGTTCTCTGTAATTGTTATGTTTTCTTGTGGTATTGTTCAGACTAGTATTTATTCAATGGCAAGAAATAAGTTCTAGAATGTACCATGTGTCACTTACCTCAAATCCACAAAGCCAAATATATGTTTGTGAAAGCATAGCAACCAAAGACCTTGTAATGCATCATCAGCACTTTTATCACCCGTTATGGTTATTATCACAAGAAACCAAAGACTAGCACTGTGGCAAGTCTTACGAACAGGAAATAACCTGTCTCTCTATATACTACTCAATTTTTGATAGGGATGATACAATGTGTCAGATATATTTTAATATACACTTGGCAGATAGAATCTTTTTTGTGTATCATGGACAGATACATATATCCCTATAAAAAGTGAAGTACCCGGTAGTATATATCAATGAATATATCTCATTGATATTTTTAGTGTCCCAGGCTGGCAACATGAAGCATTCTTAACTTATTTGGAAGAATTTCACTGCTGTCATTACTGATGGGGATTTCAGTCTTAGACTGAAGAAAGTCAACCACTGACATGACTAAATTTCAGTATATTTCTTATCCAAATACTTTCTTGCATTCACAATATTTGTATGTGTAATGGACGCAATACTTTGTGTCTGGTACAACCCTGCATGAAGAAATAACACAACGTAAGAGTTATGCGATCATTGGCACTGTTATGATTATCTTGCCATGGAAATGTCAACCAAAGACCTGTAACATGTCTTATAAACATGAAGAAGTATTATCTCTAACAACATCAGCATTATGATGACATTGTACAAGTCTGTGTAGCATCTGTATGTTTCAGTCAATATATTCTGTGTGAAATAAACCTGATATTCAAGTGTGTGTGTGTGTGTGAATATATATGGGTTCGCAGATGATCCCCCCCCTCCGTCAAGATGCTCAAGACAAAACAAGAAGTCATACATAATAAATTCATGTAAATTTATTTTTTGCAGCCTTTTGACATTTGACCAACCAATGTACAGACTTTACAATAACATCACCTGTCTCAGGTGACTCACTGTACACATGTATCTACAGCATTCTTGCATCTTAAATACATCAACTAAAATAAACTACTTTCTTCAGGAAACTTGCAAATCAAATGACCATTTCATTCAATACAAGAACAAAATATACATCAGAGAAATCACTTATTTTCTCACAGGCCTGTTCTTTAATATTTTTTGGTTTACAGATTTCTCTTCCCCAAACCATAATTAATATCAAATTTTGAAAAATGTTTTAAGACAAAAAGACACTTTAAAATTGATAGACCAGTTGAGACCGAAAATATATTCAAAGTTTTACTTCCCTGAAATTAGGCAACAGACTCTTCTAAGAAAGAAAAAAGACATCAAATTTGTAATATAATTAGTATTTCATTCCAAATTTATGAAGTTCAGGTAAGTTAATCTGTAAACTCAATAATTAATAAAAATAAAGCCATTTGCTTTTCAAGATGTGCACCCCAGTGGTCCCTGGTGATTTTTTTTAATTTACAAAGACACACTGAAATAATAGAACATTTCTTCTACAAACACCTCCTGAATATTTGGTAAATTTATCAAGCAACAAAACAGTAATTTGGTTAAAGTATTTATAGAAAGAAATCAAAATCTTCACTTTTTATAATATTTAGATAAACCCAAATTGATAACCAGGAAGTGTTGTGATATGACCATGGCATGTGTTGCTGATGTAGAGTTGGGACCCATCGTAGGAATATTGTTTGGGCATCTGCTGAAACAACCCAGGGAGCTTTTGTAATGTCCAATTATTGGATCTGAAATTCTGAACATTTAAGCAATCCTGTGCTACCACTTCAGTATCGACTGTTTGTATAAACTAAAATATATATATTTCTATATAAACTTTGCACATCCACCCAGTCATTTCAAACATTAGAACTCAGACACACATCAAAAGTGTGACACCAAACTCCTCAACATTATACAAAGATCTGCATTCATATATTACATTACAAAATGCTTATCTACATGTTTACATAAAGACAGCTTGTACGCACACCGCATCACAGACAGTTTATGGACGGCATATAGAGTTCATATTATGCCAGTATTATACAGTGCGATAAAAATTGTACGCCTTTGGAAGATATTCATTTCCTATGACAGATTCCTATTATAGTACTTTCAGGAATATATTGTTTTGACGTGAGAAATACAAATGGTTCAGTTTGTGATAGTTACACATTTGAATATCTTGGATCATGACATCATATGAAAGGAAAAACTTGATTACAATACATCGCTAAGCAACGCGCCTGATGATATGAAAATGGAAGTTTAATGTAAACACAAGATAATTCAAATATATTTCAAGTAAAACCTAAGATACGATAGTTTTATTAAAATACCTTCACTGCTCCATACACAATGCATTTGCAAACCAGTATTCTGTCTTTCAACCTAAAAGGCCTGCTTTCAAAATCTAACTGAGCACAGGCTTAGTGTGCAGCATGCTCCCTGTGCATCGAGCACCATCCATGATTGACACTGCATGTACAAGCTGTCTGTAGTTTGCACCAAGGCAAGTAGTGACCATGACTTGAACACTGAGGTATGAGCTAGCCCTGTTCCTGCACAGTCATAGGGCGAGATACGATACAATGATCACATGACCTTCCCATCATTCCCTGATGAAATTATATCCTAAAATAATATACTTAATTTTCAAAATATGTTACTAAAATAATTTATTGAAAGGATGATGTTATTTACTAAATAAAATTTGTGATCAATTATTAGAAGGATTTTATTACCAAAAACGTTATAACTAAAAGAAGCACTTGTAAAATCCCATTTTTCTCCCCAAACAAGCTTTTAAAATATTCCACCCAAACTGTTACAAAATAAAGTACACATTTCATTACATGCACATGTATATTTTGTTTAAGACGTTACATTATTTCAAGGAGTAATTTCACAGGTTTTGACGGCCGGCCATTTGACTCCTCTACATATATGGGTTGTGCGCAATGATATCTGTACACAAGATACACAAACAATAACAGGCATCCAGCTGATTACCACTAGAATACACTCTCTCCATCAATTGCTTGTAGTCCATCAATAAATTAATCACTATCAACACCTCAATGACAGGTAGGACTGACACGTTCATTTCATGTGATGTAACTGCCATAGAAATGCATTTCATGAAAAAATCTAGGAATCTGTACAGAATCAATGGAGAAAGTTCCGTCATAATGTTTACATATTATGATAACCACAAGTTCACAAACCTCATCTTGAGGTCTGTGCACAAATATATTACACGTGATGCATTGCAAAATGCTGTTTGAGGCAATCCATCTAGACTGTGCAGAGAATCCACCGTTCTTTCATCTCCAGGTCGGACTATTCCTCTTCTTATTCCTATGCATTGTGAACCTTATCAAGGACACTGTGTGTCCAGCTCGTGGGACGAAGTGTTGACATAAAATACATCTATTTCACACTGAGAGTTTCCCTGGCAAGAGTACTCATAGCATTGTGTATGCACATTTGCAACTGGTTCATCTGTTGCTCATTAAAGTCTTCAAACAAATGTGAAAGAACCAGTTTAGTATGCAGTGTTCTCTGTGAAACATGACTGACAATGTGTCAATCACAAAAAATGTTCATTTCACATAAAATCCTGATGCACCACAAATACACTGAAATGGATAGGTGTGCAAAAACTGCTGACATGGCAGTTTGTTCCAGCAATGTAATGTGTCACCATTTATCTTGCCCTTTGTGAAACCTTCTAGAAGTATGCACAGTTCTTTCCTGGTGTGATTAAATCAGCAAATAAAAAAATACTTCAAATTCAGATCTTTGTAGAAAAGTTAAACCATTCTTCACCACTAGGAGAGTTATTGCTTGTAGATGACAAATGTATTTTCACTCCAAATAAACTTGTCCAATTCTCTGCCATTTAATATAATCATTTCAATTCCATGCTTCCAGTTCTCCATCAATTCGTGATTAAGTCCTCATGAGTTTCAACATTCTTTTTCTTGACTTCAATTCTCAAGGTTTTGAACGAAAACACTAAAAACATTTTGTTCTAAAACCCTGTAACCATTCTGTCCACAAATCCTGCATGACTGTAACTCTGGAATTTGAAATAAAACAACAAATGGAAACGCAATCTCATCAAGTCCATCATTACATCCTCTAAATCAAATTAAACGAAAGACCATACACTCATTCTCGTATTTCGTGTACTTGGCAACTAAAAATATTTTTTAAACACAAATCCAACTGTGTCCGTCGTTTCCACAAGCACAGAATTCTCTGTCATATGAATTGCCATTTGTGCATATTCTCGTCCATTCCCCAGAAAAAAAAGGTCTGAATGTGTCGGTGGTAATCGGTCTGTTCTACTACACATTGCTGGGTTGGGAATGGCCTGATCACGTTTCATATCACAGGACAGCGCATCAAGCACTAAGGCAGTGTGTTCACTGTGTGAACAAACAGGTTTATTCAATTGTCTCAATGTTACCACACAGCTATTGTTATTTGCCACCAAACTGAGATATTGCATTCCCAGGACTCTGACAACATGAACTGCACTTATTTTCCTGAAAATTAAAAAAGAAATATTTTTAAGTATTAGAAAATATAATAATCAACACATGGCGTAATTTTAGAAATTTCAAGAAAACACTCTACTATCGAAGTTCAGAATTACACATGTTAATTTGATGAAGCCTTTATGTTTTTGTTCGATTTGTTTTGACAATACATACCCATATCCTGATATCATTCTGATATTTTTCAAATTCATGACACCATTCGTCAAACTTTCTTATCCATCTTTGTTCTATTTCTTCTTTAGCTGAAAAATAAGACCAAATATTAGTTTTTCATATTTAATTGTTACCATAGTTACCAACACATGAATAGTATCATTAATATTATATCATTGCCTATATTTGATCCTATGGAAAGTAACTGATTTGTGATTTATCAGCTTTGTCAGCAAACCAGTGGCGGATAGTGTGAGCATCAAGCACACAAGTGTACTAACACAGCCAGGTCATTCCGAGAGTTGATATTACTTGGTGGAGAGGAAAGCAGTGTAATTACAGTCAGCAGACCTTGTGGCCATCACATCCCCCATTAGTCCCAGCTTGCAACTTGACATCCAGGACACCACACATTCTGTCTCTGCTGAACAGTTTCCTAGACATGCTTTTCCTGAATCTTTCTAACAGTTTGGTCTGAAGCTACATTACCTCATCAAACACTGAGACAAAAAAAGAAGAAACAAGCACCAGTCCACAATGTCAGCGAAAACTACACAGTTTTCAGAGTAAGTATCCTCCGGTCAAAAGACAATATATTTTTTTTCAAATCAGTGGATGATCTCAGTTTCATCATGGCGTGTCAGCATGATGTGAGAGGGAAAACATTAGTGACAGGGATTGTGGATGTTTTCGCTTTAGTGAAACCCACAGTCCCAGGTACAAAGGTGGTTCTGAGAGTCAAACCCTGAACACAGGTACAAAGGTGATTCTGAGAGTCAAACCATGAACACAGGTACAAAGGTGATTCTGAGAGTCAAACCATGAACACAGGTACCAAGATGATTCTGAGAGTCAAACCATGAACACAGGTACAAAGTTGGTTCTTAGAGTAAACTGATGTTATTTTAAAGTACAGCTGAAAGTGTTGATGCTGATACTTACTGGTATCTACTGAGACTGCGTATTCAGCTACAAGCCTATTCTTTGTGTCAGCAGCTCTGTAAACGCCCTGGTCCGCTGCTGTCAGGTCAGGGATCACTAAGGAATTATCATGGGCTAGAATATGGCGATCACTTTGTACGTGTGAACCATTCTTTGTCCATGTGACTAAACCTTCAATATTTAATTTATACTCCACTCGTAATGTTAGCGAACTGCCTGTAGCCTTCCATATACTTTTAGAATCTGAAAAAGAAAATTTACATCATGAATATGTTGCTGCTGAAATAATTATACTTGAATAAAGTTTCACAGTCAAAGAATTCAATGCATCATTCAGAATAATCTTCTTTTTTAAGGCCATTAAGTATTAGATTTTCATTCTCGCGGGCCTCACAACCAAAACAAGCACCTCCCATGACTGTCCCCCTATATCTACAGATCTTCTTTCTTCACTTGTAGTACTTCATGTACATTGTCCTTCTAATCATTCAGGCTTCACGTGAGTCATAGGGGCAGTTAATGTACACAGATGCCTTGAGCAGTTTGTTAAAAAATAAAATGCCTCCCAATTCACATTGTTTGAATAATTGGATAAAAAATCTAAGAGTTGAATTATTCTGGACTTATGATAAAGAACTGTACACGACTAAAACATACTAGGGATGATGATGATGATGATGATGATGATGATAAACTTACTATATAATGGTTGTCCGAGTGCGTCTTCAATCGCAGCTTCCCAGGCCATGGTCCGATCAATATGTCTGTATGTGACCAATCTGTAAACAAGAAACAAACATGAAACTATATGCTAACAATCAAGTGTTTAACATGGGGTTTACTCCATTCATAACTGTATTTCTGCCATAGCACAGCATATGAACACAATATGGAAGAGAGGATTAAAGTGATAAAAGTGGCTTACATGAATAGGTTTAAAAAAACACAAGCACTGACTGATCAAGAGGAGGTGCACCCCCTTTTTATCATTTTTTTAACCACCCCTCAAAATCTGATCTGATTCATCATGGTTATGATGCTCTAGGCCTAGGAGACATAATTGGGGAAATTAGGGATTTGAACCCATGACCATATAAGGGATGGATCCTTGCACAGCCAATAGTGATACCCGAGCCCACTCGGCCACCCTCAGCATCTAGCCAGAAGGAATTGTGGAAGTAATTGTGATGTGACCAAATATGTTCAAAACCTGGAGTGAGGTACTGACTTTCTGTAGGTGCTGCCACTGCGACATATTCCCGCGTCGCGGTCCCAGCCGCAGTAGGGGTCGTACAGACACTGGTCCACCTTCATGTACTTCTGACAGATCTCGATCTTCAGCTGCGTCACCGAGATGTCCGTGCCCAGGTACACATACTTGCCCTGTGAGGAGACAGACAGGTCAGTATACAACACATACTTGCCCTGTGAGGAGACAGACAGGTCAGTATACAACACATACTTGCCCTGTGAGGAGACAGACAGGTCAGTATACAACACATACTTGCCCTGTGAGGAGACAGACAGGTCAGTATACAACACATACTTGCCCTGTGAGGAGACAGACAGGTCAGTATACAACACATACTTGCCCTGTGAGGAGACAGACAGGTCAGTATACAACACATACTTGCCCTGTGAGGAGACAGACAGGTCAGTATACAACTCTAACAAGTGCCCTGTGAGGAGACAGACAGGTCAGTATACAACTCTAACAAGTGCCCTGTGAGGAGACAGACAGGTCAGTATACAACACATACTTGCCCTGTGAGGAGACAGACAGGTCAGTATACAACACATACTTGCCCTGTGAGGAGACAGACAGGTCAGTATACAACACATACTTGCCCTGTGAGGAGACAGACAGGTCAGTATACAACACATACTTGCCCTGTGAGGAGACAGACAGGTCAGTATACAACACATACTTGCCCTGTGAGGAGACAGACAGGTCAGTATTCAACTCTAACAAACTGTCCACAGGAAACTTGAATGATCACTATTTTTGAAAGTTTTTCCCTCAAAGGAAACGGATTTGAACAGAGTAAGGTGTGGAATTAGAGGTTACATTGTTGTCCCTTCACATCTAAAGTTCAAAAATCATGTGAAGTATCTTGGTTCACCTGTGAAAATATCTCTGTAGAATTTCACAATCTACATCTTGATATATCATATGAATTGATGCCTTGATAACAAGCAACGATACAATTTTGCCTCACTATACTTACATGAAGCTTCATACTCCACACAGGCCTAACAGATTCAAATGGTTTGAAAATAGTTGACAGGATGCTGTGTGGAGCCTTATGCGTTGACTCGGATGGCCAGGCAAATATCTTGTACACCAGCCCAGTGTCTGAAGCAATCAGAATGACAATGACAGGAAATGATTGACAAAACAGGCCACAAATACTTCCACTGAGACGACACTGACAACATAACATGAATCATAATGAAGGCCACAAAGAATTAAGTATTACATTTTCATAAAGACTGTTCAAATTATGCAGGTGAAAAAATAATATTTTTTGTATTCCATTTTTCAAACACACTGTACTAGCCATCTTTATACTTTAACTGTAATGGATCTGATTCACATGAAGCAGGAACATTTGGTAGGACCACAAATATGATGTACATAATCTAGGGAAAAAACATGGGCTTTTTTTCTGCAGGAACTACGAAACAATAAAAAGTGAGGTAGGTTGTCTGGTAGATCTTAAAACAGTTTGTTTGTTTTTTAACGCCAACCTCAGCAATATTCCAGCTATATGCCGGTGGTCTGTAAATAACCGACAGACAATCCAGTGATTGACATCATGAGCATCCATCTACGCAATTGGGATACGATGACATGCATCAACCAAGTCAGCGAGTCTGACCACCCAACCTCAATTCTAACCTAGGATCTTCATGGGTCATTTTTCAAAACAGTCGTTCAGAACAGAGTTAAAATGCACTGACGTATACCAGTAATATTTTGAAATATTTTAGCTCCTTGCACTGTAATTTTGAAATTCTTTTACAACATTGTGTAGTGTTAGATAACAGATGCTATGAGTGTGGACTTACTACTGGCGGTATAGAAGACCAGTTCCCCATGGCCAGACACATTGGAAGCCACAGCTAGCCTCTGCATCAGGCAGTTGCCCTTGTAGAAGATTGGGCGGCCATATTGGTGCGCCACGGCCTGGTCCATCAGAGGGTGGGACTTGATGAAGTTGATGACGGTGTCGGGCAGGCTGCGGGTGTCGTCCACGGAACACTACAGATGGGAGTGAGTTATTGCATGAGTTGGGTCACATATATATTTAACAATATTTCAGTTTCATCAAACTGTTTCAGTTTTACGTTGCAAAGCCCAAAGTGACACAGGTCAGATGTTTACCACATTTTGGTGAAACTAGGAGCAGAGGTAGGAGCGGACTGACAAAGAATCACAATCAAGGAGAACTGGGGATTTGACCCATGACAAGTAGATCCTTACAGTTACTGCTCATTCTCCTGGGCCACCCTTCCCCTTCACAAACTAGGGGCCACATACCAAAAGTCTCAAATTCACAAATGTCAGATTTTGTTATAACACTAATGAATATGTGTTTGGTTGATCATTGCTGTCTCAGCATCCTGGCACATATTTTCATGAACTTACACAAAACAAGTTCCTTTCATCATCATAAAAACTACCTATTGTCAAGCAGGATCACCAGTACACTGATTCAGGTGAAGTCATTGCTGTACACTGACTGAGATACCAGTAGACAATCTATTATAATTATACAAAGTCTACCCTGTACAATGTTCTTACATTTCCTGGCCTGGGATCTGGAACTTCTACCTCTGGTACAGGAAGCCAGTTAGACTTGCTGTTGGTCTGGTCCTTGAATGGGCCGTTGAAAGCTCGTTCAATTTGGTGCACAGTAAATGCACAGATGGCTGAGGCAGTCAAGCCATTTCTAGAAAAAAAAATTAAAACAATTATTTTATGTTTCAAATAACATTTCCTGTCCTCTTGACACACCTTTTTCACTCACACTTCAGACAAACCTTTGTGAATGATGGAATCAGTAACAGTTTAAGATCTGCCTGGAGTTCTACTTACACATTTGTTGTGAAGAGCCCATAAAATGTCTGCCCATCAACTGAATACACATCCTCTGCAGAAAGAAGAAAATATGATTGACATATTTCACAAACTGGCAACACAACTTTACTGTACATAAAAGATACATCTCATCTCATTTTTCATGATATAAAGAGTTACTTTTTCCTGATGACAGAGATGAGTACGAGTTGTGCCTGCTACTCACGTATTTCATCAAAGTAGTACGGGTATTCCCCCGGGATGGAGCAGTTGAGTCGAGCCTTCAGGTAGGAGGTCCACACATGGTTCAGCACAGCCTTCCCTCCCTTGTCGTTCTGTACACAGAGTCAGATAATCAGCCTCCACAACTGATGCCATCAGCATCCTTATCTTAAGCTGGGCCTTTCACAGGTTCATATCACAACATGAATGGTTCAACTTTTATGATTAGACTGTTATATATATATATATAGACTGCTAAATATATACATAATGACGATAAAAGTAAGTGAGTGTTTTTTTATGCAGCAGTTAGGATTATCATGGTTGTATCATGGCAACCTGAGTGGGTGGATTGGTTGTGAATGGGTTGGTTGGTGGACTGGTTGTGAATGGGTTGGTTGGTGGACTGGTTGTAAATGGGTTGTGTGTGTGCATGCGTGTGTAAGGTTGCTATACCAGATCATTGTGGGGGTACCACAAAAGAACTTCACAAAGTTTACCCATGTGAAGAACTGAACCAAGGTTTGCGTGCAATGAGCCTTAACCACTATGCTAACCCACCACCACCCGGAGCAATCATAGAGACAAGACTAGCTATCTCTTACAGTTCCCCCAGGGAAAAGAAACATAAACAACAGACTTGACCTCACTCAAGAAAATGTGATATCACAAATAGCTCATATTATACACAGCCAGTTTTTAGGAAAGTATTATGCAGTATGCATGGCATACCTTGCAGACTTTGGCCACTCTGGAGTAGATCTTCTTGCCACAGTTGGTGTACTCCAATGCAACCTCGCGGAAGAAGAAGTAGACTTGGTTGCCCACGTCGAAGGACCCGACAAACTGGGGCTCTGAAACACAGAAACATGTCAGCGTTGTCAGACCAGAACACACTTTAAGAGACACGAAGAGTCACAGCTCATCCACAGCTCATTTCCGACTAATTGTTGATATGAGTGAGCTTCGAACAGTTCTTCAGTTATAACCGGGTATGAACCTACAATCTACACAGAAATTAATTCACAAATGATGACTCCATAGAAATTGATTGATGAAACTGCGAAAAACTGAAGTAATTTTTCTCTCATGCTGTTATCTCCCCTGTATCCATGACTACAAAATGGATGAGACTAGCCATACTGACCAATATTTACTTATGTATCCAGAAAAAAGGATCTGAATGTACAATCATTGTCAATCATTGTCAATCATTGACAATCACTGTCAATCACTGTCAAACACTTTTAGCTCCAAATACATTGCAATACATATTGTAATACACAGGCCTTGCAAAAACTTTTTTTTTTGCCAGTATACAGCCCTAACAGGCACACAATCATTTATTTTACCATTTAGCCATTTTGGGTCATTCCTCTGAGTCCTGACGTAGCCGACGGCCATGGTTCCATTTCTGTGGTAGAGGTCAGGGCGGAACAGTATAGGGTCAGCTTTGATGAAGTCTGTGACTGTCCCCGAGTACTGGCCAGGAATGTCACCAGGGTTGGATTCCTCTGCAACCACACAAAGTCGGAACACAGTTAGCTTTGTTGATACAACTGCTTTCATAAAGAACAGATGGACTTGGAACAGGAAGTAAGCTGGTCATTGAGGTATTAAGCTGCAGTGACTCAACGACAGGTGCATACATCAGTCTGCCTAGTCTGGCCAAGCATGCGAGGCATGTGAGTAAGTGGGCGGAAGGGTGATTGGTTCTTGTTTTACAATACAGTCAGCAATAGCACAGCCTGATTGAGGTGACCTACAACTAATCGCATCTGGACCAGACAAACCAAAATGTGTGGTGTCATCCTGGGCAAGTGACTTTGTTCAAATGTACCTCTGTTCACCCAGCAAGGGAAAGGGTACCCAATATGTGAGGCAGATGTAAAATCCTTCTAGCGCCCCAAGGCAGCTTGGGTTGTATACTCCCAGGGAGTTGAGAATGATAACTGGAATGCGAATGGATCCACTGGTCGGGGAACAAAAAAACCTGCATTCGAGCAGATTTTCGTACCTGGATATCTGCAGTATATAAATGAATTATATAACAATAATATGTGGAGGGTACGCTGACACTGATCAGGTTGGGTTTCAAAATCCTCCTTCTGATATATACTGTTTTCATGTAGAAGCTAACTCAAATTGCACTTACCGACAAACAAAGCTGTGGCATTATCAAAGGGGTCATACGGACACATCCCAATTCCTGACGAATGCGACAACACCAGGAAGTCATTAACTGGGACCTGTCAGAGAAACAAACAATGCCATATTAACCTGCATGCCACTAATATCTTGAAGACTATTAAACATCATTACATTTTGGAACATCAGCCCTAAACCACGTTCATTCACATTCCAAGTTTCTGTTTCTGGAGCCACTGTAATGTCACACTATAAAAAGATGATTACATACATTTTCTCCAGAATCAATAATGGCGTGAGGATGAAAGAAATCTAATGCAACTACTTTCAGATGTTCTTCACTTTTATAAAAAACATTCTCAACAAGTACATCCTTTTCACCAATTCTTAAATGCAATTTTTCCAAAAGATGACTTCTAACCATAACGGGTCTAATGGACGCCACCTCCTTGCTGTGAGGTGCAGCAGACTTACACTGAGTTGGTAGCTGGTGGGGTTGTAGGAGCCGGTGCCACACACATACAGTGTGTTGGAACTGCTGGTGTTACGGGCGATGAAGCGAATGTGGTTCTGACAGTCTGGGAGCTGGGAAAAACAACAGAATATGAAAAGACGTGGTTTTGTGTTGAGAGGAAAGTAGTATTAGCCAACAATATGTCATCTGGCCTTGCTCGGACATCGTTGTCAGGTGTTGAACTGACTGGAAACATTAATCATTGTTTTTTTTACGATGAAAAATTGCGACTAATGATAGTTTCAGTGAGTGAGTTCTTTTACCAACATTCCAGCATTATAGAAAGATAGAAAGGAATGCACTGCACAAGTTGTATTCATGTGGGGATGGAACCAGGGTCTTCAGTGGAACCGCTAGGCCACATTCTAACATCAGCAGTTTTAGTTCTGTCCAATGGTGGATTAAGAAAGTTGATAAATTGTATTATTATCAGTAGTATATCGAGAATAACCATACAACCACATACCTCCTTCTTGCCCTGTATTTTACATCTGCCAACGTCAGCACGGTTGGGGGAGAGGTCCTTTTTCCGTACCTACAGAAAAATAATACATTAACACAAGCTAATGTTACCCTAAAAAAAACTATTGCAGTGAAGTGTGAGTGAGTTAACGTTGTTTTACATCACAATCAGCTATACTTGAGATACACTGTACCTTGATGGGTTGGGTTTAACGCCGCTTTTAACAGTATTCCAGTTATATTACGGCGTGTCAGCTTAATGTGGGAGGAAATCCCGAAGTGATGCAGGTCTCAGACGTTTACCACTTTGGTGAAATCCAAGAGCAAACCTAGAAACATAATCGGGGCGAACCGGGATTCGAACCCACAATCATAGGTTTCTGGCGTGCCCAAGGGACACAACTCTGCACAGTGAATCGCGGCCCTTAGACGACTGGGCCACCCATGCCCCCAAACGTGAGTTGAAAGCTCAGAGTGATGTAGTTTGTAAATGGATGCCACTTTGACAAAGGTATGGTGATGACAAACCAAGGAACACATCTGATATGTAAACAAAAGAAATGCAGATTCAGGCATGGCTAAGGGAGGCAACTCTAATCAGGAATTGCTGACTTACCATGCCAGCCAAATGTCGTGAAAATTATTTGACACATATATACTTACACTTGCTTTGTCTGTGACATTGGTAAGACTGAGTCCATATATCCTGTTCCTGAAATTGAGAACAACACAATTAGTTTGGGGTGAATAATCGACAATTTGAAACATCAAAGTTTATCTGAAAGATATATCATGTAACATTATTAACACATTTAACCGTAATGACAAGACTAGATAAATGGAGTGATGAGAATTAGAAAATGATATTGATGCTTCAAATCTTTCCCCTAACATCAGAAGGAAGTTTTTCAATCAATCAAAAACTTCAGTAATTTTCTTGTAAATGTCTTCCAACAGCAATTAATTTCACTTTGTGTTGACAAGACGACATTTCACATTGATTATTATGCTTGGATAACTGCTCTGGGAAATCAGACAAAATTAGCGCAATTCACAATTCCTGGACATTGGGCAAAAAATTTCCAAACTAATGACAGACAACACATTTCCCTTCAAGAAAACAGTCTTCTCTTCGTCCTTCCACCTTTTTCACAAATTCACATTTTTATATTCAGCCAGGGGTGAAATTATGTTGGCTATTGATTTTCATGTTAAACTGTCGTTAAGGGGAGGGCACTCTGACAGAACTCGTAACAAGAAACCCCGAAAACTCCTTAAGTGAGTACCATACGAGGGGTCACATAGCACAATATCCACATGATTTGTCACACAATACCTCCTAAAACATTCACATATTTACTCGTAAATCAGTTTCTCTGCTCTTGTTTTTACTTCACAGATCCTGAGCTGTTTATCAATCCCCAGAACATTTCGTTATTTCAAGCAATGATTTATGGATCAACTAAATGCGACAATGAATATGATAAATGTTCAGATTAGTAAATATATGTTACAAACACAAGTTTCTCAAATGACATCAACATTTAACCATCACTTCAACGTTTTCATGCAAATATCTGAGACAGAAATGAAATCAACCAAAAAATGTTTCACCAAAATATTTCTCGATTTCTTGTAAAAACATCAACTAGCATTACATAAACATCCCGCTGTTCGACATTTGTAACAATATGATATCCCATGTACACCCATCACCATCTATTTAGACAACAAAACAGCCATGTCTTGGTGTTATCATCAGAAATACAAGGCGGAAATCACATGATGTCATGAGCATGCAGAAAGCTCGATGCATGTTGTACCATTTACAGTAACAGCTGTATATACATGTTAAATGCAATGTATGAAGATCGGCGAATGGCCTCTCAGTACAACCTTGTATGTTTATTGTGATAAACCTTCAGCTCAACGTCAACCTTATTTTCTCTTGAGTGCAAAAAATCACAACTTACATTAAAAAAACATTTCTATTAGATTTTTGGATGATTTCCACCATTCTTGCATTATGTTGTTGGCAGTATCTTTAGCCTTATTATACAAGCTCACGCAATCTGATTGTCTTCAAAATGGATCTGCTGTTTATGAATAATTCAGAACTACTGGTGGCCAGATCACAATATAAGTAGCCACTGCTTGTGAAGGACAAGCTACTTCCTTGACAGTTTGCATCACAACATTATCACTAGTGTGGGAGTTGGTATCATGCCGCTTTTAGAACTATACTAGGCACACCAGAGTGAGTGAGTATTGTTTTACTCCGCTTTTAGCACTATACCAGCAATATCACAGTGGGCAACACCAGAGTGAGTGAGTATAGTTTTACTCCGCTTTTAGCACTATACCAGCAATATCACGGCGGGAGACCAGAGTGAGTGAGCATAGTTTTACTCCACTTTTAGCACTTTACCAGCAATATCACGGCGGGAGACACCAGAGTGAGTGAGTATAGTTTTACTCCACTTTTAGCACTATACCAGCAATATCACGGCGGGCGACACCAGAGTGAGTGAGTATAGTTTTACTCCACTTTTAGCACTATACCAGCAATATCACGGTGGGCAACACCAGAGTGAGTGAGTATAGTTTTACTCCACTTTTAGCACTATACCAGCAATATCACGGCGGGCGACACCAGAGTGAGTGAGTATAGTTTTACTCCACTTTTAGCACTATACCAGCAATTTCACGGTGGGCAACACCAGAGTGAGTGAGTATAGTTTTACTCCACTTTTAGCACTTTACCAGCAATATCACGGTGGGCAACACCAGAGTGAGTGAGTATAGTTTTACTCCACTTTTAGCACTATACCAGCAATATCACGGCGGGCGACACCAGAGTGAGTGAGTATAGTTTTACTCCACTTTTAGCACTATACCAGCAATATCAGGTGGGCAACACCAGAGTGAGTGAGCATAGTTTTACTCCACTTTTAGCACTATACCAGCAATATCACGGCGGGAGACACCAGAGTGAGCGAGCATAGTTTTACTCCACTTTTAGCACTATACCAGCAATATCAGGTGGGCAACACCAGAGTGAGTGAGCATAGTTTTACTCCACTTTTAGCACTATACCAGCAATATCACGGCGGGAGACACCAGAGTGAGCGAGCATAGTTTTACTCCACTTTTAGCACTATAACAGCAATATCCCGGTGGGTGACACCAGAGTGAGGATAGTTTTACTCCCCTTTTAGCACTATACCAGCAATATCACGGCGAGCGACACCAGAAATGGCTTCAGACACTACCTGTTTTGGAAATCAAACCAAGGCATTCAGTGTGTTGATCCAACCAGAAGGGTACGCCACCATCCCACAAAGAAAAAGTAATTCACACAAATCATCAGGATTGTTGTAAACTTTTGAAAAAGCTGCCACAAGATTCTAAACTTACAAAAAAAAGTAAAATAAGTGTCAGCAATTAACAAAACCTTAACAGAAATTTAATACCAATTAAAAGCTCCCTGAGCTTGATAGTGCAAAAGACGTACATCCTTTTCAAGGCTTCATACCAGTGAATGATAACTTTTCTATGCCTTGGGTATGAAGAGAAAACAGACAAGGCATTGCTGTGATTTGTTTTCCAAGCTTCTCTGGAAAAGGGCGAGATGGTAGAAACCAGTCAAATTACATTACTATACTCTGTCTTTGCATCATCATTATATGATACAACTGCTTAGGCGCTGAACCTCAAATGCAAATTGAGGACTACCAAACATCAATTTTCCAAATCCAACCACCAATAACAGTTTGGCAGGCTAATATGGAGTTCCAAAACATTATTCACACAAAGAATTCTTTCAAGTAGAAAATATTCCTTTCCAAGCATACTTCCCCTGATAGATTTTTTTGTCATGTTTATTGGATCAATGGTGAAAAACAAATAATCCCCATCCCAAGCAAAACAAAAGTTAAAGTGGGAGAGCTTTATCCAGATATATATCATGAACATTTTGTTACTGTCACCTGATAACAAAACACTAACATTTTTGCACCCTATTTAACAGCTCTAAATGACTTCCAATTACTTGGTGCATGAGAAATCAAATAACTCCCAACATTGAATACCATAAACTTTTTGCCAACAACAAACACATGCTTGTTTGGTTCTGACAATTTCTTCTGAAAACCTCTCCAGCGAATAACATGCCAACTTACATTGAACAGCAAACAGAATGACAACAATAAAAACAGTTCTCTTTTCCTTTTTCAGTCGGCCATCTACACTTTAACATCCCATAATTTGAGAAGCTTGCTACATCAGGCAACTTGTTATTTCTCTACACGAGCTCTGTGAGTGGCAACCACGATCAGCCGATAACAGAAAGATGTTTTTGTAAATTGACGATGAAGGTCTGTAAAACTCAACCCAGCCCAAGCCTCCTCTGTTACAGTTAGCAGTAAAGCAGAAAATGGATTATGCCAAAATGCACAATTTCCCCCCAGTTCCGTGACCAAACATTGGCTTAAGAATTCCTCACCAGGGCAAGAATTTTTGCTATTCATTAACCCCATTATGGCCCCTCATACCATAATGGCATACAATTGTGATAGAAGAAGCAAAAAATGAAGAGTGAGTGAGTGAGTATGGTTTTACGCCGCTTTTAGCAATATTCCAGCAATATCACGGCAGGGGACACCAGAAATGGGCTTCACACATTGTACCCATGTCGGGAATCGAACCTGGGTATTCGGGGTGACGAGCGAACACTTTAACCACTATGCTACCCGACCGCCCCTTAAAAAAATGAAGAGAAAAGGACTTTGACAATTTTTTCAGAATTTTGGTAAATAATTTTGAAGCATATTAGCAATCAATAAAGATAGTGTTACAAGTAGGTGATACAAAATGAACATGTCTTGCAAGTGGAGTGAGTGAGTTTGGGTTTATGCTCTGTTGAACACCTTTTCATTTACAACACAGCATGTCAGCTTGATGTGAGAGGAAAACCAGAAGTGATGCAGGTCTCAGACGTTTACCACTTCGGTGAAACCATTAAGCATGGGGATGGTGCTTAGCAAGTGGGTGCATACCTTGGAACAGCCCTTTGTAAATGATAACTCATCCACAATCAAGGATGTTTTTGTAGAAGACTCTGACAAGAATAGGTGATAATGTCATATGTCTAATACACACCATGGCCATGTTGACAGGTCTTCTGAACAGGGTAATCTACACATGATACACGATATACAATAATTTGTCTTCACATTCTAGCATGGCCTTATGACAAAAGATAATTGGATAACAAAAACAGATATGAAAAACATTTGATGAGATGAGTTCTAAACTCCTTCTGATTCCATTATAAATTGACAAGAAATCGGCACACAAAATTGAAACCACATCACAAGCTCCAACCCGGTTTTAATGTCTCTTGTTACAGAAGAAAGTCTCGCCTTTCAAATCATAAACGTACAATGCAGAATAACATGAGTATTAAACACAACATCTGACCTTTAAGAATAATCTGATCTTGATTTTCGGGATTACTTGTCAGGGTTTTGCTCTTTACCTCCAGACATTTGTAATAATCCCAATATGAGAGGAGTCTTCCATTCTTTGTAACATGATGGGGTTATAATTCCATCTAATAATGCGCAACTTGGGAAATATTCAGACTGATTGCCGAAGGTCAAGGATCATATTGTCTTCCAAGAGACCTAGAGAACCTCCAGTTTACAAAGC